GGAACCCCCCATCCCCAGGCAATTGAAGCAACACCAAAAATCCATCACTGGGATCTGATCAAACTAAAAAGCTTTTGCACAGCCAAGAGCCAAGTAAGTAAAGCAAACAGACAACCTTCAGAATGGGAGAATATTTTTGCATGTTATGCTTCTGACAAAGGTCTGATAACTAGAATCTACAGAGAACTCAAACTAATCAATAAGGAAAGAATAAATAACCCCATTTCTATGTGGGCAAGAGACTTGAATAAACTTCTCTGAATGAGACAGGCTCATGGCCTACAAAGACATGAAAAATGCTCATCATCCTTGATCATCAGAGAAATGCAAATCAATACCACTATGAGATATCATCTAACTCCAGTAAGATTAGCCCACATCACAAAATCCCCAAACTACAGATGTTGGCATGGATGCGGAGAGAAGGGAATGCTTCTATACTGCTGGTGTGAATGCAAGCTAGTACATTCCTTTTAGAAAGTTTGAAGAACACTCAAGGAACTAACAGTTGACCTATCATTAGATCCTGCAATTCCTCTACTAGATATATACCCAGATGATCAAAAATTATTTTACAACAAAGACATTTGCACAAGAATGTTTACTGTGGCCCAATTCATAATAGCCAAGATATGGAAACAGCCTAAGTGCCCATCAACACATGAATGGATTAACAAATTGTGGTCTATGTACACCATGGAATACTATGCAGCCATAAAAAAGATGGAGACTTCACATCTTTTGTTTACCTGGATGGAGCAGGAACACATTTTTCTTAGTAAAGTATCTCAAGAATGGAAAAAATTGTACCAATGTACTCAATACTACTATGAAATCAATATATATATGTTGATTTCAATATATATATAAATATATGATATATTCCATTATAAATATGTATTTATATGTTGACATATATAAAATATATGAAATATATATGAAATCACCTACACACTCACATGAATGGCAAAACATAACTATAGTCCAGAAAGTAGAAAGGAAGAGGAGAGAGAAGGGAGGGGAGGGGGGAATGTGGGAGGAGGGAGGGCATGGGGGGGGGGACCTCACCTAATGTGCATGATGCAATGATACATTTCAAAACTATTAAGAAATGAGTATAATTGTGATGGATGTGTTACTAAGTTCAATGTAAGCATGTCACATTGCATATTGAAGCAATACGCTGAACCCCATAAGTGCATCAATTTACAAAGTTATGATTTAATAAAATAATAATAATAATAAATAAAAGCCTGGGGGGGAAAAGTAAAAACTATTAGCTGGACCTGGTGGCACACACCTATAGTTACAGCTACTTGGAAGACTAAGGCAGGATAATCACTTCAGCCTAGGATTTCAAGGCTACAGTGAGCTATGATTGTGCCACTATACTCCAGCCTGGGTGACAGAACAAGACCATCTCTAAGAAACAGAAACAAATAACAAGAAGTTGAGGGCTGGGTGTGGTGGCTCATACCTATAATCTCAACCCTTTGGGAGGCTGGGTGGAAGAACCATTTCAGGCCAGGAGTCTGAGACCTACCTATGCAACATGGCAACACCCTGTCTCTACAAAAAAAATTATTTATTTTTTATTGTTGGGGATTCATTTAGGGTACAAAGAACCATGTTACACTGATCACATTTGTTAGGTAAAGTCCCTTTTATAATTGTGTCCCGCCCACAAGAGGTGTGTCACACACCATGACCCTCCCCACCTCCTTCCCTCTCTCTGCTCCCCCCTTCCCCCACCACGTACTAGGTCATTAATTGTCCTCATATCAGAAATGAGTACATTGGATTCTTGCTTCTCCGTTCTTGTGATGCTTTACTAAGAACAATGTGCTCCACCTCCATCCAGGTTAATACAAAAGATGTAAAATCTCCATCTGTTTAGTGGCTGAATAGTATTCCATGGTTGGTGGGCATTTAGGTTATTTCCACAATTTGGCAATTATAAATCGAGCTGAGATAAAGAGTCTTGGGCAAATGTCCTTATGATGAAGTGATTTTTTTTAATCACTTCATCATAAGTGATTTGCATTTCTCTGATGATTAAGGATGATGATCATTTTGGTTAATGTGCATTGATTGCATCATGCACATTAGGTGAGGTCCCCCTCAAATACCCTCCCTCCTCCCACATTCCCCTCTCCCCTCCCCTCTCTCTCCTCTTCCCTTCTACTTTCTGGGTAGACACTCAGTTAATGGGATTGCAGGATCAAATGGGAGGTCTAGTTTGAGTTCTTTGGGATTCTCCAGACTTTCTTCCAAAAAGGTTGTATTAGTTTGCAGTCCTACCAGCAGTGTAAAAATGTTCCTTCAGAAAAGGAAAAGGTATTTGCATATTATGAATTGGACAAAAGCTTGATAGCTAGGAGCTACAGAGAATTCAAATTAATAAACATAAAAAGAGCCAACAATCCCTTAGATCAATGGGCAAGAGAGATGAATAGAAACTTCTTTAATGCTGCATAGTATTCCATGGTATACATATACCATAATTTATTAATCCATTCATGAGTTAATGGGCATTTGGGCTTCTTCCAAGACTTGGCAATTATGAATTGAGCTGCAATGAATACTGGTGAAAATATCTTTGTTATAAAATGATTTTGGTCTTTTGGATATACACCTAGTAGAGGAATTGCAGGATCAAATGGTACATTTAGATCCCTGAGTTCTCCAAACTTCTTTCCAAAAGGAATGTACTAGCTTGTATTCCAACCAGCAGTGCAGAAGTGTTTCCTTTTCTCCTGGAAACTACTGGTCAACATCTGTAGTTTTGAGATTTTGTGATGTGGGCTACTCTTACCGGAGTTAGATGGCATCTCAGAGTGGTTTTGGTTTGCATTTCTCTGATGATTAAAGATGATGAGCATTATTTTATGTGTCTGTAGACCATGTGCCTGTCTTCTTCAAAGAAGCTGCTGTTCATGTGTCTTGCCCACAATGAAATGAGAGCACTTATTCTTTTCTTATTAATAAGTTTGAATTATCTGTGGATTCTAGTTATTAGACTTTTGTCAGAAATATAACCTGCAAAAATCCTGTCCCATTCTGAGGGCTGTCTGTTTGCTTTACTTACTGTGTTCTTGGCACTGCAGAAGCTTTTTAGTTTGATCAGATCCTAGTGTTGCATTTTTTATGTTGCTTCAATTACCCGGGAGGTCCGCCTCATAAAGTATTCTCCCAGGCCAATTAATTTTTTTCAAGTGTTTCACCTGCACTCTCTCCAAAAACTTTTACAGTTTCATGTCTTAAGTTTAAGGCCTTTAACCACTGCAAGTCATGGAATACTACATTGTAGCAGCCCATGTAGCCTATGGCTAGGAGGAGTGAGAGTTATAGGAAATACCTGTAATGGAACACCCTGGTGAAAAGAACATGGAGAGAGATTTGGTTCTAACTACCATGAGAGAGCTCGCGAGATGAGAGCATTTCTGAATTGGCAGTCTCTACACCTGCGGTGATGAGAGGCACCAGCTCAGGCTTATATTAGGCTGGAGGAGCAGGCAGTCAAAAAGCATGTACATTCTATCAAGGACACGCTTACTCTGACTCTGTCTCCTCTCCTGCCTGCAGAATGCCAGCACGGCATCTCTCTGCTGAAGATTACCAAGCTCTGCTGAAGACTAAGATCTATCTGTTCTAAGAAGACTGCTTTACTCTCTCTAAAATACTCTCTTTCTCTCCAGCTAAAGTAGATAGCCCTCAAGTACCTAAAAGAAACTGTTCCTGAGCAAGGTAGCTTAGTGGTCCACGTTCAGAACCTACCTAAGCTGGGCCCGAGACCTGGCCAGTCCCGGGCCCAGACAAGTGGTGTCAGAAGCAGATCCTGACACTAAGCAGCATCAAAAAAAGATGGAGACTTCACCTCTTTAATGTTTACACAGATGGAGCTGGAAAATATTCTTCTTAGTAAAGTATCTTAGGAACGGAAAAAAAAATCCAATGTACTCAGTACTACTGTAAAACCAATTTATAATCACTGACACTTTCATATGAGCAATGGATCACAACTATAGCCCAGGATGAAAGAGGGGAGGAGGATGGGAAGGGAGAGGCTTGATTCAATAGAGGGAGGGTGAATGGTGGGACCACACATATGGAGCATATTGCAAGGGTACAAGTATCTATCAAGTATTGAACACAAATGTCTTAACATTGTGATTAATTAAAAAAAAAAGAAACTTCTGTAAAGAAGACAGACCAATGGCTAACAAGCATATGAAAAAATACTCACACCCCTATATTAGAAAAACGCAAATCAAAACCACCATAAAGTATCCTCTGTGTTTCCCACAGAAGGGACTTCTGAAGTTGGTCCAGATTTCTAAACTGGGGAAACACATCCCTAACTGATGGATGCTTCTTACAAATATTCCACATTCTAAATTTAAGGGGATCCAGAGACGCCGCCGTCTACAGTCAACTCACGGCTGTTCAGGACTTCGCTGCCTTTTGCTGCTCACCTTGTCCCAGACACCCGCTCAGCACCGCCCCGCCAGGGGACCCTGCAGGCTTGCAGTTAAAGCTCGGCTTCCCAGCAGGTAAACCTGCCTTCAGACTCACAGGATGGCCTCCGGCTGGACACCTGGGCCTACTGAGTTACACATTAACCAAGTTTTTACTAGGTAGATCATAATAGCTTAGAGTTTCTCCTGGCTCAGGGACCAAATGAGGACCGAAGACCACGTCATTACCAGGCGGGCCAATCTGACAAAAGGACTGCCTTCCTCCCCGGTTCAGGCACTTTGCCTCCTCTGTCCGACAGCGGACCCCACTGTACGCTGCCCTCTGTTACCCCCAAAGCTGCCAACCGCCCGCCCTCCTCCGCCAGGAACATCCCGGCGCCTCCAGGGCGCCCCACAGGGCTGCCCCGCGCGCGGGCGGGCGAAGGGTGCAGCCGACTCACGTGCTGGGGGAGCGCCGGGGCCTCGCACGCCCGCGCCCCGGCCCCGGCCCCGGCCCCGGCCCCGGCCCCGGCAGGCCCGTGCGCACGCGCGAGCACGGGCGGGGCGGCATCCCGCACACCGCCCCCCTGCCGGCCGGGCAGCGCTGAGGGCCGGTCCGTGCGCCTGCGCGGAGTCGGAGTCCGGCAGGGCAGCGGCCGCGGGGTGGCGGGCGGTTGCCTTGGGGACCGGTAGGGTCCCTCCTTTCTTTGGTCTCCCGCCCCACGCCTCTCCCAACTGAGACGCGGCAGAGGGACCCAGGGCCGAGCTGCAGCCGGAGAGCCGGCGAGAGGTGGTACCGCTCCCAATATGTCGCAGACGGCCATGTCCGAAACCTACGGTAGGAGCCCGGCGGGGCGGGGCGAGCGGGCGCGAGGGTCAGCGGCGCGGGGCTGCGCCTGGGCGGCTGGGGTCTTGAGGGGTCGGTGGCGCCGGCCGGCGCCTGGGAGGGTCGGGGGCGCGCTGCGGAGGGCGGGGTCCGCCGGGGGGAACCGGGCGTGCTGCGGGCGAAGGCCCTCCGGTGAGCAGCGCGTTGTCGCGATCTGCTTTTTCAACGCATTTGCATTGTTGGCGTTTTTCCTTTCAAAGTTTAAATAGAAAGAGCTCAAGGTTTGGGAAGCCAGTCTGATACTCCGGCTACGATGTTTTCCACGGCGGGCCATGTTAAGATCTTAGGGCGATGCTGTATTGCAGTGTGTTCTTCACATAATTCAGTTTGACCTTTCCTGGTTTGGAATTTCCTCCTTTGCGCCAGGATTACAGCGAGGAGTTATTGATAGACTAAGCCACCTCCTCCTCCGGAGACCTCCTGCTTCGTTTTTGTTTCTCTCTCTCTCTCTCTCTCTCTGGTTTTCAGCCCTTTCTAGGTTGCATTATGGCTATTTACAGACGCGTCCAGTCTCCTTTGTAATACCGTAAACTCCTTGGAAGCAGAGCCCTGTCTGTTTAATTTTTGTTCCCTGCAGCAGCCCCAGGCCTGGAGGTGCTGAAAACATTTTTTTTAAATAAATGAAGGCTTTTCCGCCCAATTCAAATACTGTGTTGCTTTTGTGTTTTTGTTTTTCTTTAACTTGCGTCATAAAAGTATACTTGTACTTCGCTATTAACAGTGTTGAGTAGATGTTTACCAGTCTCTAAGCACTCTTTCAGATATGTGCATTTTCGGAATAAGACTTTGATCTGGAGTTTAACAGTCTGGAGAGGCTCAGGTTCCACAGTGAATACTTGAGGCCACACCAGTCCTGCTCCATCAGTCCGGCATGCTGCTTCCTTGCCTTCAGCTGCCCGCACTGTGGAGCGGCCTTAGGAGAGCGGGCACTGCGCTAGGAGGGCTTTACCCTGCCCCAGGCGTGTTTCTGGTCCCATAGAGCTTACAGTCTAGTGGGGAATGCAGCAGTAATCCACTTACGACACGAATAAGGGATGAGGCGGAACCAGGCAAGAGTTCTGAAGGAAGGTGGTCTGTGAAGAGAAGGTAGAAAGAAAGTTGACTGGGTGGGCAGGGAGGAGTCAGGCAGGCAGCACACAGAATAGCTCAGGCCTGTGGAAAAGGCAGTTCAAGGAAGAGAGTGGTCTGAGCACCAGCCTGGGGAGAGAGATGCGAGGCAGAGAGTATAGGGCCTCCAGGGAGGTTTTCATCTGTGTCTCCTAAGGAAAATGGGAGCTCTTGGAAAGGGTTACAGTGTGTTTGGTCCACCAGCGGTGACTCTTGTGACTGATACTGCCCTGTTCTTGGTGACACTAGGCATGGCGTCCATTCCTAGAAGGCTTAGGGACCATCCAGTAAGTCGCTGGCTTCATCAGGGAGGGTGTTCCAAAATGCTCCTGTAAACGCCAGTGGTCTGGTTCTTCCTGTGAGGAAAATAGGTATGCTAATAATTCTTGTTAGTTTTTCACTTCTTTATTTTCAAGGGCTCTTAGCCCTCACTTAGGTAGCCTGGGTATGGAGCCCCAGGGAAGGATGGAAAATTCAAATAAGAAAACCCAGTGGAGGCCATGAATTAGGAAGGACTGGAAGAGATTAAGAGATAGGGCTTTTACATTCAGTTTCTCTTATGTGAACTTACAACAGCTGATAAAATAAAGCACACCTTTGGCATTTCTCTGTCAGTTTAGACATAGTTAATGAGCTTCAGAGCATCACAGTTAAACTCTGGTCACAGCCCTTCGTATTCTTATTTCATGCTATCTGCCAATTGTGCCATGAAATAAGGATTTAATCTTTTCTTCCATCAGAGCGAATTTATTGAAAACAAAGAGAAAAAGTAAAAAAATAGTTTTACAAAGAGCAGGTATGGCAGTTGAAGTTGCCGACTAAATAAAAGTCATCGGGAACCAAGTTTTAGGCTGTCACGCTCACTCCTCATTGGGCATATTTGCACAGCATTGTTCCCCAAACTGAAACAATCAGGTTCCCTCCTCTGGATGATCACGCTCAGCAGGTGGAGGCTGTTTGCCTGACCTTTAAGCTCCTGTGTACTCTATGCTCAAGCTTGCCAGAGAAAGGATGAGAAATAAAAACCCAGTGCATAAAATTCACTACTAATGGGCTGTGTCTACCTGCTTTTTAGCATGTTAAAGGGATATTTCATCTTCTATAGCCTGAATAGTGTTCATCATTTTGTTTCTCTGAAGCCACTGCGTGACTGCTATACTTTATGTAATAATGTAATTCAAAATTGAAATCTTAAACATACATTTCAGATTGAAATGTTGAGTCTAAAATTCAGATTGAAATGTTGAATCTAAATTTAATGTTATTAAATTCAGAACATTCTTAAAGCCCTGACCAGTTGGTGCGGCTTGGGACCTCCCAAGGAACTCACTTTAGCCATCTGAGACCTGGGAGATCACAAATTGGTGGTAAGTGATGCCAAGCAACAATATTCAGAAAGGAACTAAAACATATATGTGATAGAGAAATGCCACAAATTATTTTAAAAATTTAAGTGCTCAGGCAGTTCAAAAGTGAGAAAAAAAATCTATTAACAAATCGCTACACATTAGAGTTCATGGCATCCACAGTGGTAACAATTGATGGAACAGAAGAACACAACTCAAATTGCTGGTCTTCTGCTCATTTTTACTGTAATACTTATGTATGTTCAGTGCTTTGATTTCAAAATGTGCTTCATTTTGAAAACAGTACAGTATTGTGGTATTCATATAATTTTGAGAATTATCACAGTATTTTATTTTAAAAATACAAGTGTATCCTTTTAGGCTGTTGTAGCCTGAGTTGTGTTCTATAAAAGATAGTTTAAGTCCAGATGTTGAAATAGGGTCTGTGCATATGTAATCAAGGTAAGATAAGGTCCTGCTGGATTTAGGTGGGCACTAATTCAAGAAAATGAGGGAAACTTGGACAGAGACATTTACAGAGAGAATGGGAGGTGACAGTGGATACCAAGATTGGAGTGGGATGCCTGGGGTGGCCGGCATCCACCAGAGAGGAGGAAGAGGCAAGGGACGGTCCTTCCCTTGAGCTTTTAGACAGAGCTCGACACTGCCAGCCCCCTGATTTTGTACGTCTAGCGTTCAGAACTGTGAGACAATAAACTTAGGTTGTTCTCATCCACCTAGTTTGTGGTCCTTTGTGATGACAACTCTGGGCTTTGGTCATCAAAATATGATTCCTGGAGAAATTCAGGCTTGATAAGGCAAGATGGGGCAAGGAGGTACCCTGGTGAAGGAAAGAGCATTTTCAGAGTCACTTGGTTCCAGTAAAGTGTGAAATAATTTGCTGTTAGGGAAATCAGCCAAATTGCCTTTACCTTAATTTCATCAAAGATAAGACACATAATGTCAACAAAGGAAGCATGTCATAGCAAAATAAAGGGTTTGTTTTTTTTTTGAGACAGAGTCTCACTTTGTCACTCTCAGTAGAGTGCTCTGCCGTCACAGCTCACAGCAACCTCCAACTCCTGGGCTTAGGTGATTGTCTCGCCTCAGCCTCCCGAGTAGCTGGCACTATAGGCATCTGCCACAATGCCCAATTATTTTTTGTTGCAGGTTCAAACTGCCAGCCTTGGTGTATGAGGCTGGTGCCCAACCTGCTGAGCCACAGGCACTGTCCAATAAAGGACATCTCTTAAAGTTGAATAAATTTTTTATTGTAAGTATTTGTATTTTTCTTTTTCTCAGTCACTGAAAACTAGTGAACATTTCAAGGAGCAAAGGAAGAGGGGAGGGGAGGGGGGATATGGGAGGAGGGAAGGTATTTGGGGGGACCTCACCTAATGTGCATGATGCAATGGTACATTTCAAAACTATTAAGAAATGAGTATAATTGTGATGGATGTGTTACTTAGTTCAGTGTAAGCATTTCACTTTGTATATTGAAGCAGTACCCTGAACCCCATAAATGCATCAATGTGCAAAGTTATGTTTAATAAAAAATAATAATAAAAAAATTGGGGGGGAAACACTGCACCAGTGCTTCTCAAACTAACGTGCTCGTGACTTCTCTGGTGTGTGAAGATACACATCCTCATTCAGCATAAGTAGGGAGGGTTTGCATGTGACGAACTCCATCCAGGTCCCGCAGGGGCTGTGACTGTAAGAGCTCCAGACTCTTGGTCTGTCCTCTCCCCTCCTCTGGAAGCAATGAGCTTCTTCCCCCCACAGCTTTTTCTTCCACCTCTTCCATCTGTGTCCTTCCAACTACACACACCTTGCACGGCCCAGGCCAGGTCATCCATCGGCCCTGCCTGCTGCTGTGCAGACAGAGCTCTCTGTAGGGTGGGTCATTTTCCCTATCCTGGCCGTCTCTGCCTTTCTCTGCATCAACTTTTTAAACCTTTGCACACCTCCTCGGTCCCATTAGCGCACTACAGGTAAATGCCCTCCTCCCCCAGGAGATAGAAGAAAAAGCTGCTGTGATAGGAGATTGCTCTCCTGCCGCCTCCTCTCTGGACTCCAGACTCCACAGTCACCCTTAACCCCCCCTGTTGCCTCAGAAGAAGGCAGGTCGTTCTTGTTCAAGACTAACCCCATCTTCTGCTTCAGACCCCAAGCCTAGAATGTCAGGCCCTCACTTCACCCACTGTGCCCTTTCCCCCTCCCCTTTTCTGCTGGTGACCTCCTGGCTTGCCTTCCATTCAGTATCCTCCGGCTCCCCCTGTCTCTCCTCGCCTCATAGTCAGGCTGCTTGTAAGAGCCATCAGTACTTTGTGTCTGGCGTCCTTCATTCTTTGACAGACTGTGCAAGGATTTTGCCCCCACCTCAAGTAACTGTGGATGTTGATGGTCAGGCCCGGGAATACTCTGTGGCCTTTATCTTGTTTAGCTTCTCCTTTCATTTTCAGCCAATGTTTTGTTTTACAGGTTTTTTCAGTTTAT